AGATGTCTCTCTGCAGGTCCTAATCTCTTCTAATAAGAAAACCAGTCAATTGGATTAAGACCCACCTTAATGACCTCATTTTACTCATTTTAACTTAATCACCCCTTAAAAGGCTCTATCCCCAAATACATCTGAGGTACTGGGGGTTAGAGCTTCAACCTATGAATTTTGAAGTAATACAATTAATTTAGTTGGCCAGGTGCAGTGGCTCACACCTGTAATCCCAGCACTTCGGGAAGCCGAGGCCGGTGAATCATTTGAGGTCAGGAGTTCAAGACAAGCCTGGCCAACATGGTGAAACTCTGTCTCTACTAAAAATACAAAAATTAGCACGGCGTGGTGGTGGACGTCTGTAATCCCAGCTACCTGGGAAGCTGAGGCAGGAGAATCGCTTGAACTGGGGAGCAGAGGTTGTAGTGAGCTGAGATCACACCACTAAACTCCAGCCCGGGCAACAGAGTGAGGCTCCATCTCAAAACAAAACAAAACAAAACAAGAAATAAAATAATTTAGCTCACAACACTGAAAAAATATTTTTTAAAAATCCTTTATTTTCTAGCCAGTCATTGGTGGCTTATGCCTGTAGTCCCAACATTTTGGGAGGCTGAGGCGGGTGGGTCCTTTGAAGCCAGGAGTTCGAGACTAGCCTTGCCAACATGGTGAAACCCTGTCGCCACTAAAAATATAAAAAGTAGCCGAATGTGGTGACACACACATCTGTAATCCCAGCTACTCAGGAGGCTAAAGCACAAGAATCACTTGAACCCAGGAGGCGGAGGTTGCAGTAAATAAGATTGCACCACTGCACTCCAGCCTGGGTAACAGAGCAAGACTGTCTCTAAATAAATAAATAAATATTCCTTTAGTTTCAGTAATGGAAAGTCATCATTGTTGAAATTATAAAGATTTTGTTCCTTAGCCTCGTATTTGCTCTTTCAGTAAACTAATACAGAACTCTTACAGGATTGAAGATGATCCAGGAGCCACTTAATTAGTTTAACTACAATACCACTATTCCCATTCTCATACCTCAACAAGCATTTATCTCAGTAAAATTATGTGAACAAACATGAACTTGAAAGAGCCAATCCTTTAAGATGAATCCCCAGTGGTTAACTGGGCCTAAATTTAAAATAGACCTAAGTGGGACCTGGCACTGTAGCTCACACCAGTAATCCCAGCACTTTGGGAGGCAGAGGCAGGTGGATCACTTGAGCCCAGGAGTTTGAGACCAGCCTGGACAGCATAGTGAGATGCCCCCCCGCCCCCCACCACATCTCTACAAAAAATTAGCCCACACCTGAAGTCCCAACTACTCACGAAGCTGAGAGGCAGGAGGATCACTTGAGCCTGGGAGGTCCATGCTGCAGTGAGCCATGATGGTGCCACCGCACTCCAGCCTGGGCAGAGCAAGACCCTGTCTCAAACAAACAAAAAACACCTAAGTGAGCATTTGCTAATTAGATGTCACATACATGTTCTGAGTTCCCCGAAAAACCCACACCTTTGTTCAATCTGGGGACTCCAGAGCTCACCTGAACCAATCAATCAGAGCTCACCTGCCTTAACCAATCAGGACCTAGATGTATCAACCAACCAGGCATCCTCTGTATCAACCAACCAGAACTCAGCTACACTGACCAATCAGAACTAAGCAAGTTTCAATCCTTCCTTTACATGTGAACCTGATTGGAAACCTGGCTGGAATGTTGCTATAAATCCAGAACCCTTGCTTTGTTTTTTGAAACACATCTTTGTTTTACACAGAAGGCCGTATCTCTGTGATTTGGAAGCTGTTCACGGCAATAAAGTCTCTTTCCTTCAAATTCCTTTTCAGAGAACTTCTGTTCACAGTTGCTAATGGAGTGAGTTAAAACAGCCTGGAAAGGAAGGAACTACTTTTTGTTTGAGGGGAAAGCCCCATACAGTACTACTGTATATGAAACTCCAGAAAATTCAAGCTTATCTCTAGTGATTACCAGGGGAGAGGGGGATTACAAAGAGCCACGAGGAAACTTTTATGGGTAATTATGTTTATTCAACAGCTTGACTGGGGTCATGGTTTCACAGATGCGCACACACATCAAAGCATCAAATTGTACTATGTGCAGTTTGCTGTAAGTGAATTATACCTCAATCTGCCTTTTTTTTTTTTTTTTTCTGAGACAGCCTTGTTCTGTGACCTAGGCTGGAGTGCAGTGGCCCAGTCTCTGCTCACTGCAACCTCCATACCCAGGGCTCAAGCAATCCTCCCACCTCAGTCTCCTGAGTAGCTGGAACTACAGGCATGCGTCACAATGACCGGCTAAATTTTTTTGTGTGTGTTTTTTTGAGACAGGATTTGGCCATGTTGTCTAGACTGGTCTCGAACTCCTGGACTCAAGTGATCTACCCGCCTTGGCCTTCCAAAGTGCTGGGATTACAGACATGAGCTACCACGCCCGGCCCTCATTTTAAAAATGGCTTTATTACTGATAAGAGCTAGATTAGAGGATGTAGCGTTAAGTATACTCTCTCCAGAATCTAATCACCCCACCACACTGCGGGCCTTCTGGCACTAGGGACAGACTGCCTGTTAATAGCAGAGAACCACCCACGCAGAGGAAGGCGAGCTGACGGAGCATGCTCAGTTCTTCCCGAACACTTGTCTTCCCACAGGGAAAGAGCAGGGGATGTTAGTCCAGCCTTCTGCAAATTTTTTTCTTTCTGTAAAGCGCCAGATAGTAAATAGTGTAGGCTTTGCAGGTAACGTAAGAACAGCCATAGATAATACATAAATGAGTGAATGTGGATATGTTCCAATAAAACTTTATTTATGAACACAAATCTGAATTTCATATAGTTCACATGTTTCAATTTTTTTTTATTTTTAACCATTTGAAAACATGAGACCCGCTTTTCAGCTCATGGGGCATGCACACACAGGCTGCAGGCCACAGTTTGCTGACCCATACTCAAGGGAAATCCCTCTACACCCAAATATAAAGAAAACAAATTTCCCCCTAAAAATAAGCATTACAGAAAATACAGACACCTTTATTTAGATTAGTGCATATATTTAATAGTGTGATATTAGAAATACCTTGTCAACACATAGGGAAAAATAATACATTTTAAGCAATAAAACCAAGATTCAAACAGTCCATGATAGCTTTGTCACACAAAAACAATGGTAGTCACTCTCCTCCCGGTGCACAAAGCGTGGCATCACTGGCTTGTTGAGTGGTACATTTTCTTACCTCGCTGCATGTTTTTCACATAGTTCTTTAGTCATACACATGCTTAGCCCTGTAATGCCATGGGTATGAATCCTCCTTCATGGAATGTAAACCAGCTACTCAAATGTCTGTTATCCTGTGAGCCCTACAAACACCCACTCCCATATTCTATGGCCTGTTTTTCTCTGTCCAAAGCTCTTAGGGGGCTTTATCTCCCAAAGACCCTCAATGATAAGCAGTCCACCATGAAGAACGCTGGCTGGTCATTCCATCTCGTGCTTTGTTCTGATGAGAAACGGGGTAACAAGATAGGACCCACTTTCCGATCATTACTGTGCTGTTTGATTTCTCAGAGATTCAAGATCCTTCTGTGATGGAAGGATCAGAGAGGCCAGGCTGAGATGGCCAAGGACAGAAGAGGAGGAGGGGCAGGAGAAGTCCATTGCAAACTTAGAGGGTGGGTGTGATCCACAGGAGACTATACGGGCCATCTCTCCCTCTGTCCTTGGCTCTATGGACCCATTAAAAGGAATTCCTCTTAGTCCTGGGAACAGAACTTTCAGGTGGCCCAAAATTTCCACCAGAATTTGCCCTCCATCCATCAAGGCAGGAGTTCTTTGTGTAGTGGAAAGCAGAACACCACAGTTTTAAAAATTTGCTTTCAGTGCTTAGATCCACTACATCTTGGCCATGACCTCTGGCAAGCTACTTAACCTCTCTGGGCCTTCAGAGGGCTATCTGCAATATAAGAATAATAATATCTCCTCTTCAAGGTTGATTATAAGGATCAACTGAGTATGTAAAATGCATATGTTATGTACATAAAGCGGTAAATGTTCACTCCCTTCTTCCTCGTTATGCCCAACGACTTCACATTTGGGCTGCTGTCCCCTATGCCAGACATTCACATTTGCATGCAAAAAACCATAACCCTGGTCACTTGATAAGGCAGATTCTAGGCTTATGAAGCGCAATACTGGTTAAAAAAAAAAAAAAACATCACATTTTCCTTCTAACACTATAGACAGTATTGAATTGGCTAGTTATACAGAAAGTGTAGGCATAAGCAATTATTTTAAAAATAAAATGACACACTTTTCAGTTCTGCCTTTCCCCAGTAAATTACAATAAGTAAAAATAAGATGGTCCCATGAGGATGAATACTCCAGGAGATGACAAAAGCACCTAAAAGCTGAATTTTTTTTAGGAGCCCATGGGGAAGATTTTCTCTGGCACTCCTGCCCTGGTGGTTGAAATACCTTGCTTCTTAATCAGCAATGCAATCCTAGTTTTCCCATGTGTTACAAAAGCGTTGTGCAACAGGATATTGTTTAGGTGTGGTTACACTTGATACCACAACACTGGTTCTATCTCTCATTTTAATCTTCCCACAAAGAATGCCAAGGGCGCCACCAAGGCCCAGCTTCAGGACCAAGGGCGGATGGGGAACTACCCTGAACCAGTGAACGTAGCAGGCTGCAATTAACTCCAGTTAATTGCTCTGGAGTACTGCTTTGTGGGTGGGAATGTTTTAATTGTCTTTCATGTTTGAAATAAGATTTATTCGGTAGAAAAACTTAAATGTATTTTTAAACATAGGAAGTGAAGACATCTATGTCAAGTTATTTTGGAAAGTACCTGTCGGGGACCAGAGTATCATAACCACGCCATCCAAGTTAAGACTGACTATATTTCAGAGTTTTGGAATATATACACAATTGTCCTATCTATGGCAGTCCAAATGCACAGCCTACAGAACATAATAAACGTTTAATGAATTAATCACTTCTATTGCATTTAATGTAAACTGGGGCTCAGTTGACATTAGAGAACAAGACTGCTAAACAACACCCAGAGGAGTCACTGTAGTTTTTCTTAAAGAAAAGATAATGTTACAAAGCTACCTTCAACCTACACGGCATTAAGCTCCTCCTCCCCTTTCTATTGCCTCAGTCCTTAGAATATGATTCTTCCTTAGCTCTTGAATGGCCAACAGCTGCTCTCTTGAGAGAGCTGAAAACTGCCGTTGACATAGCACAGAATTGAAAACCAGGAGGGCTTTGCACTGTGTGTTGCCGTCAGCACAGAAAACTTGCTACACGCAAGACTCTCCGTCCCTCTACAGAAGACAACCTGTGCCTCTTAGATAAGCTATTTTAACATACACAGCCATTTGACTGCAGGTGCTACAAGATAAACCATGTTTAGAATGCTGTTCCTTACAGGCAATCACAGTGGCTAAGGGAGAAACCATCCCTCTTTAAATCCTTATTTAATTCACCTTCTCTAAGGTTCCACAGATAGAAATAGTTTTTTATCTTTAACATGAGATTCTGCCAGCTACAAAAACACAAAACTCTTTTAAGTATGTACCTTAGAGTTTCACCCAGCCTTTATCTCTATTAACAAGCATCTCAGTTAAAAGAGCAACGTTTTTGTTTTGTTTTGTGCCTTCAAAAACCGGTCTTTTAGTACGTGGGGATACACATCTAGCCCACTGGGGAAGGAGGTCAATGAACTATTCTAAAAGAGTGGGTTTTGTGCTGTAACTCCCACTGACTGGTCCTGGATTCAAGGATTCCTATGGGTTTCTTCCACTTTACAAACGACTGCGCCATTATCTGTCCTTTGAGCAATAACTGAAGGAAGCTCCATTTCTGATGGAACCATTCATGGAAACCTTTGGATTCCCTCTCTCCATCTTTTCTCGGCTGAAGATTGTGTCCTGGTCGCTGTCAAACTCAGATTCGGATACCATCAGGCTGGAGTTGTGCTCTGTGCTTCGGTGCTTGATACCTAGAGAGAAGCACAGAAGCATCTGAGGAGAAATGCCATGATTCGCTTCCAGCTGTCAGTCGTTCTGGTTGCAGGTCCTGTGAGGAGCACGGAGTGGTGCTCTCCGCACCTTGAAAGCAATCACTCAAAACAGCAGGCGGTTTGGGTTTCCCAGCAAGTAATTGCAGGGGCTTTGATGCCTCACCTAAGCTTTTGCCCCAGCTTTGATACTCGCCAGCTGCTTGACCCTGGGGAAGATACCTAACCTCTCTGAGCTTTCAGTCTCCTCCTCTATTCAATTGGAAGATAACAAAGCATCTACCCCATGAGTTTATGGTGAGGATTAAGTGAAATCGTGCATGTAACGCTCTCTTGGCCCAGCCATTAGTACATTGTAAGCATCCAACAAATGAAAGCTTCTGTGATTTTACCATTTGGTTAATATCATTTTGGTAGAATATTTGATTTCAGGGGGTCAACCTAAGAGACAGAACAGGTACAAGATTCAATTCCTACTCTCAAAGGATTTATGGCGTCTAGCTAGGGGTTTAAGACATAGACTTGGCTGGGCCTGGTGGCTCATGCCTATAATCCCAGCCCATTGGGAGGCTGAGGTGGGAGGATCACTTGAGGCCAGGAGTTCGAGGGTATGGTGAACTATGATCGTGTTGCTATGTTCTAGCCTGGGTGACAGAGCAAGACCTTGTCTCAGGAGAAAAAAAAAAAAACAGACAGAAAAGGCATAGACTCATAAAAAGATGGCGCATAACAGGTAAGATATTTTTTAAATTGTATATGAATTAGGAAATAAGCACATGTACTTATGGCTGGGGTTGCTTCAGTGATGTTTCCCATAGGGTGATGTTGTAGAACTTTCTCCTTAGTTCAGATAAAACCAGGCTCTTATCACACCAGCAGGAAAGATTAGGCTCGTGGACACACAGAAGGGTGAAAAAAATTGAATTTATTAGGTAAAAAGGAAACAAAAACTCTCAGCAAATAGAGAGGGGGTCATGCCAACAACCTCCTGCCTCACAGACTGAATCCCAGGTTACCACACAGGAACTGAAGAGGCCAGGCTCCTCCCCACTGCAAATGACGTGAACCTCCTGTGGCTCCACCCCCTTTCCCCAGTGTGCAGGTGGACATTATTTAGAGAGAATCAGCTGGGAAAGGGCAGGGCCTTCATCGGGGACCAGCAGTCCGGTTTTTCAGCCTTCAGGCTGTTTTAGGCTTGGAGGTGCGGTTTCACCAGGGACCCTTGGCTGTCTCCTGTCTCTATCAGTGAGATCTGAAGAAGAGAATTTAGACAGGAGGACAGCGGAAGGGCATGGAGTATGCAGAAGCATCCAGGGACATTTAGAAAAAAACTAGTTTGTTTGGAGCAAATGATTCATGTAGGAAATAATGAAGGAGAGGCTGGAGAGAGAGAGGCAGGAACCTCACAGAAAAGCACATGAATACAAAGTAAACCATGAAGTTTGGATTTTATCCGATAAGCAGAGAAATGACACTGTTAAAATGTTGTTCTGAGATATTAATAAAACCACAGCGTGCAGGATGGAAGATGGACAGTAGACATAGAGGCTGCTGTGGTCTGAATGTTTGCACCCCCACAAATTCATGTGTTGAAATCTAACGCCTAAATGGTGGTACCAAGAGGTGAGGCCTTTGGGTGGTGATCGAATGGGATTAGTGCTCACACAAAAGAGGCACCAGAGGCCAGGCGCGGTGGCCCACACTTGTAATCTCAGCACTTTGAGAAGACGAGGCGGGTGGATCACTTGAGGTCAGGAGTTTGAGACCAGCCTGGCCGACATGAAGAAACCCTGTCTCTACTAAAAATACAAAAAAGATTAGCTGGGCATGGTGGCAGGTGCCTGTAATCCCAGCTACTTGGGAGGCTGAGGCATGAGAATTGCTTGAACCTGTGAGGCAGAGGTTGCAGTGAGCTGAGATTGTGCCACTGCATTCCAGTCTGGGGGATAGAGCGAGACTGTGTCTCCAAAAAAAAAGAAGCATCAGAGGCTGCCTTGCCCTTTACACCATGTGAGGATGCAGTGAGGAGGCACCAACTATGAGGAAGTAGCCCTGCCCAGATGCTGAATTCACCTTCCCAGCCTCCAGAACTGTGGGTAATAAGTATCTGTTGTTCATACACCTCCTTGTCTGCAGCATTTTGTTAGAGCAGCCCAAACGGACCAAGGCAGAGGCAGTGCAATGTAGAGGAAGAGCCCGGCCTCCACCCCACCTTCAGCACTCACCAGCTATGTTACTTGGGCAAGTTGCTAAACTTTCCTTTGCCTCAGTTTCCTCTTGCGTAAAATGGGGATAATCATTGCACATACCTCATACAGCTACGGGTAGGATTAGAATTCAATGGGTAAAGTACTTCAGATGTGTTTAGTATATATTTGACATTAAATACCTGTTAATTATTATTATTATTACTATTAGTTCACAGGTGAAACTGTAAGGACCTGAACTGGGGTGGTGATAATAATGATGAGGAAAGAGGGCAAGAGTCTAGCAAGGTGCGGGTGTCTGGAATGGGGGGCAGTGTGTGTGGAGCACCAGCGACTGAGGTTTCAAACTGGGGCAATGAGAATGGGGGTTCTATGAATAGAAACAGGAATGTCAGAAAGATGAGTGTATTTTAAGACAAAGGTGGGTGAGATAATGCAACCTAAAGCACACTGAGCTCTTAGGTAAAAGTCACTATAATACTTCTGATATGCAATGCAGATGGTGAGCACTCAATGTATGCTACTATTTGTTCTTCCTGTGAGGCTCTTCCTGCCAAAGCCCTGTTAGCTACACTCTCTGTACACGATCAGTCGTTCTGACCTGAGTGTTCCTACCCGGCTTCATCCATGCATTGGTAGAACTCCTTGCGCTCCAGTATAATTATCCTCCCGCAGGCTGCAAGCTCCTGTAAAGGCAGGCTCTGTGCTTCCTCCTCTCCCAGTCTCCAGGGCCTAACCCGGTGCCTGTGCACAGGGTAGGCATTCAACACTCACTGTGAACAATGTTTTGCACCTCAAAACTCTGAAAAAGATTATATCTTCCATAAAAAGTAACTTAGTCATAAGCCCAGAATTATGGAAAACCTATAGAATTGGTGTTTAGCAGCCTCAGAGGGCCAGAGAAGTTTCACTAAGTATGCAACAGTTAATAAACGAGAATGAAAAAGTTAACCGAGGTGGGCAAGTGGTGCTCCTAAGCATAGGGATCAATACACTTTGTGAAGAAAGTCAATTTTCTGTAAAGCCTTTGTGTCCATCTATATCAATGGCTAATTAGATAATACAGCTGCTGAAAAATGTTAGGCTTTAAAGTCCAAATGTCCTCTTGCTGCATTTCTGTCCTAGCAGACCTGAAGGGAACAGCATTCAGAGCTGAGCTGAGGGAGTATCTTCAACTGCCCCCCACCCTCCAACCAGGAGTAGGAAAAAAAGCAGATGCTGGGGACACCTCTAGTTAAAAAGCAGTCTTTGCCCTGTGGTCATTGGTAGGTGCCCAGCTGATAACATTTCATATCCCTCATCCATTAATGCCTCAAAGTATTATGCCAAAATTTCATTAAATTTATAATGAACCTATTGCCTCCTGCCCCACCCCCGCATTAGCACATCATCAGGGTTGATGAAGGTTATTTTTCTTTTTCTTTCTTGAGACAGAGTCTCAGTCTGTAGCCCAAGCTGGAGTGCAGAGGTGCAATCTCAGCTCACCGTAACCTCCACCTCCCAGCCTCAAGCTAGTCTTCTGCCTCAGCCTCCCGAAGAGCTGGGACTACAGGCGCACACCACCACGCCCGGCTTTTTTTTTTTTTTTTTTTCGGTATTTTTTCAGTAGAGATGGTTTCACCATGTTGCCCAGGGTGGTCTCGAACTACTGAGCTCGGGCGATCCATCTGCCTCGGCCTCTCAAAGTGCTGGGATTACAGGCGTGAGCCACCGTGCCCGGCCTGAAGGTTGTTTGTCATCACAGAATCCCAGCCTCACTCTTCCTTCCCAATTAAAGTGCTGACTCCAGCGGATCATTCTCCCTTGATCCAAGTTAGCCCTCAGGCATACCTAGGGTAAATCAAGGAAAGGTGCCAGGCAGTCATTCTGGAGACTGTCTTACCATATTTGGGCCTCAGTTCCATTCTTTCCTGTTCATCCATGTTATCCAGGATGGTGTACTTTGTTTTTTTCCTGATTTTAGTCCTTTTTTGTCTGAAAGGAACAATGAAAACTCAACTCAGATCTTTAGAAAGGTAACTGAGATCTAGGATTTAACGCAGAGTAAAGACACTAAAGGAAACATTTTGCCTTTATGATGTGATAGTTGGCATCTTTTATTAAAGAAACATACGCAAGGCCAGGTCAGAGCTCAGAGGGGCATTATGCATCTTGGAGAAACCCATTTCGGGGTATAAACAGCCACATCACTCTTGCCCACCTATCGACAGGTCTCAGCTAAGCCTCAGGCTGCAGTGCCAGGGACCTTCAGTGCAATTCTCAACACCTGTGTGTTGGCCCAGGGAGCTGTTCTTCATGAGTAATTCCTTATTCAGAAGACCCTGGATGAGCAAATGTTCCCCTAAACCTATACCACCCTGCAATGTCCAATGCTGCAGTAATGAAAAGGTGTCATGAACTAGCAATCAGAAAAAAATAGCAAAAATTATCATATATTCCCACAATTAATTAGCAACAGCTGCTCCCCATCTTTTTCTTTTTTTTCCCCTCAACACATGAAAATTAGGCTGGTCTCATGTGCCTCAACCTGTGTACAGAGATTATTTGGAAATACACACCCAGACCACGTGAAGGCATGTAGAGAACAAAATAGTAATTTCACAGCATAAAAGCAATTTTCTGAGAGCATGATGATCAGAAGCATGGGTCTCAATTTAGCACTTACTAGCTGGTGATTTAGAGAAAATTATTTGAGACTTTTGTGCCTCCATGTCCTCACCTGTAAAATAGGAGTAAGAATAGTCCCTATCTCACATGGTTGATGAGAGGACTGGGTAAGATAATACACACAAAACACTTAGCCAATAATCACAAAGGCAAATACTTCATACATGTTCACAGTTACCACTACTAGCATCATCATCTTCTACTTGATAGACATGTCACAAAGCTGAAGATGTTTAATGCCATGCATAGTAGGGTCACATATGGCTCTGGGAAAACTTAACGGGATTTAGGCCTCTAAGTGCCTGCACCTGGCTCCCTTTCACCAGTCTTAATTTTGGGAACGTAATCACAAAACTAAAATAATCTATAAGTGATTTCTGAAAAATAACTATTAAAATATAGTTTATTTTTTTAGACGGAGTTTTGCTTTTGTCACCCAGGCGGGAGTGCAATGGTGCGATCTCAGCTCACTGCAACCTCTGCCTTCCAGGTTCAATCGATTCTCCTGTCTCAGGTAGCTGGGATTACAGGCATGCGCCACCACGCTTGGCTAATTTTGTATTCTTAGTAGAGACAAGGTTTCTCCATGTTGGCCAGGTTGGTCTCAAACTCCTGACCTCAAGTCATCCACCCACCTTGGCCTCCCAAAGTGCTGAGGTTACAGGCGTGAGCCACGTTGCCCAGATTAAAATATACGTTTTTTAAAAATCACACCTTTTGAGAGCAGTTACAGTGTTTCACATGAAAGAGTGGGCCTGATGCTCTCTTCCAGGACAGAGGGTTGAGCATGGGGTTCTGGAAGGTTTGGCCAATGAGGTTGCTTGAGGCTTCTCAGAGGTCAGCTCCATGGAAAAAGGAAACACCTAAAGCAAAAGTTCTCTTTGGCGGTGTTATTGCCTCACTTACAGTTTCAAATGTATTTAAAACAATTCAGGTGGATTAGATTATTGCTTTACATAATGAAAATAATCAAAATCTACCATTTGGAACAGTATACTTCCAGAACTCCTTCCTCTACTGAGACCTGTAAGGCCACTTAGCTACTTGTGAGACATATATATATATATATATATACACATCTGTATGCATGTTTTCATCATGGTTCCTGGCTAATAACTCCCATGGCCCTTGTTACAATGCTGGGGCACTTTAGGCCTCAGAAAACAGAATGTCCCTCTCTCTGACCTTCTCCTGCCTTCCTTTCACCTGCTCTTTATTCTCCCCAAAGCAAGAACCTTCCCCTGCCTTTCTGTCTTGGAGCCGGCTGTAAAGACATTCTCTGACCTACTTTGTCTGATTACAGGTCATAAAACGCTCATTTCAGAAAGAGTTCTGCCTCCTACCCAGGAGGATGGAGTGCTTCACAGAGAGGCTGAGAAGAATCTGGACAGCCCTTGCTGGGCTTCCCCACAGCCTGTTAGCGTCACATCATACCCTTTTTGTCCAACTACTTTTCTATAAATATCCAATAAACTCTTCATAAAAGGCCCAAGACGACAGGGTTCAGAGAGCCTCTGGACAGCCAAACACGTGGAGGTCCCCAGACAGTGGCATGCCCAGAGAGCGTATGGAAGCTCTAGGCCCCTTCCCCATACCTCACCCTATGCATCTCTTCATCTGTATCCCTTGTAATATCCTTTGTAATAAATAACCAATGTGTTTCCTTGAGTTCTTTGAGCCATCCTAGCAAAATAACTGAACCCAAAGAGGGAACTGAGGGACCCAATTTATAGTCAGTCAGAAGCCCAGGTAAAACAACCTGGGGTATGCAACTGGCATCTGAATGGGGTGGGGGGCAGTCTGGGGACTGAGTCCTTAATTAACCGTGGGATGTGACGCTATCTCCAGGTAGACAGCATCAAAACTGAATTGGACGACACCCAGCTGGTGTCCACTGCAAAACTGTTGCTTGAATGGTGTGTGCAGAGAAACTCCCAAACACTGGTCACAGAAGTCTTCTGTGTTGATTGTGGTTGAGTGAGAAAACAGTACCGCTCTAGTGAATATAATGTAAGACCGATAGAGAATAACATTAGATATGATTAGAATCGTTGACCCTCCTAGAAAACACAAGAGCTTCAGTGAGAAAATGCTGCCTCTAATATTCCATTTATTTAGGCACTTATGCTTTGTGGCAGAAAGTGCATTATTATAATAAACAGCTTAGCAGTTTACCAAGCCCAAGTAAACAATTCCTAAGCTGTCAAAACACACCTAGTGTAGGGTCTCTATTTCACATGAATAAGCACTCTAGGTACCTTTTGCAGCAGCAGATGCAAAGCCAAGTGAAACCTCCTGTTAGCACAGTAAGAGTAAAACCCAACACTGTCACATAGAATATACTCCACTCTGAAACACAAGAAAACCAAAGTGGACACAGTTATAGACATCTGTAGAACAACTTTATTTTGATGATTCATAACAAATATTTCTAAATCCCTACAAGTAAAGGCCACCTATGGAGTTGATAACATCTCATCAGGCTAGTAGCAGAGCAGAGCAAGGTAAAATACAGATAAATCGAGAACAACCTAAAACTGCCCTGTTTTTATCTACTGGGTTTCAGGGCTTCACGGAGTACATATTTCATGCTAACTTGGGAACAGAATAATCAGAAATAACTAAAATTAGTCAATTACGTAGTAGTAATGCCTCTTATATAAACACACATGTATACCACATCAAAATATTCATTCCAGAATGCCAAAAATCACAACCCCCACCCCTGAAAGTTCCGGCTTGGTTTTAATAAAACATCTGTATGTCTGTTTATGGCATGAAGACATTTTTCACAGCCAGAGAGCAATTTGGAAACTACTTGACCCTTGTTCCGTCCACATCCTTACAGAAATCTAATGTGAAAAGCGTTCAACAGTAATTCAGAGACAGAGAAGCCCAGTTTAAGTCTACTAGGGAGCAAAGTTTAACTCTATTAGGCTGGGTGCAATGGCTCACGCCTGTAATCCCAACACTTTGGGAGGCCGAGACGGGCAGATGACTTGAGGTCAGGAGTTTGAGGCCAGCCTGACCAACATGGCAAAACCCCGTGTCTACTAAAAATATAAAAATTAGCTGGACATGATGGCACACACCTGTAATACCAGCTACTTGGGAGGCTGAGGCAGGAGAATTGCTTGAACTCAGGAGGTAGAGGTTGCAGTGAGCTGAGATTGTGCTACTGTACTCCAGCCTGGGTGACAGAGCAAGACTCCATCTCAAAAAAAAAAAAAAAAAGTTTAACTTTATTAAATGTTATATAATTTCATTGGAATAATGATCCAAGGGCTGGCTATTTTCTGATTTTTTAATAGTATTAAATGGGAATATACTTTGGCAGTCAGCTCTTACTATCTTCGGTGCCAATTATGTCCATCTGGTTCCCCAAACAACAAATTTACTTAGTAGACTGCCATTAAAATACAGTTTTCTCCTCAGAAGGGACCTCAGGGGCGCCAGCTTGCTCTGCTGTGGCTCCAGTTTTTGGTGCCTGCCTGTGTGAACAGCTGGAAGAGTGGGCCAAATTCTCTTCTTTACCTGATTCTAGAAGATCCACACCAGGGGCCACTTCACCAGAAAATCACACTGAGCCTAAGCCAAGGCAGGTGTAACCTGGAACTGCAGCCCATGGCCCAAGCAATTCTTTCTTAGAAATGTCAGCAATAGTGAGCCAATTCTGCTCTGCCAAAGGGGATTTTCTCATCAGGAAGTTTTATGTAAAAGCCTAAACACACCCCAAAAAGTAGATTGTAAGAAGGGTATTAACTCACTACCAAGTGAGCTGGTTCACTTGGCTTCAGGTGACAAAAGAACCGAATGTTTATAACTGCAAAGCTGGACAGATAGTTCTTTTTTTCTCTCTTTTCTTT